TACACACAGGAACACTACCTAAGGTGGTAATCTGAACTCATGCTTTGAAAACGGCCCAAGGGGAATAAAATGCGAATAGTACTAATTTAGGACCACCTACAAAAATGATCTACCACGCGATCTATTGCAGAAACAAATCCACTTCATGTTCCTCTATGCACACTCACCAGTCATTTCTGATTGATTGCCTCTTCCTAGCAGACAGGCCCCACCATCATTCGCAAATACCCATCAACATGGCCTGATGTCGGAAGCCCTGAAATACTTTCAAAACAGCCCCAAGCAAAGAATATGTCCTGTGTGTGTCAATACAGCAGCTTTACTATGACAGCTTGGAGCACAAAAAATATAAAATGCACAAAAATTACAAATAACAAGACAACATCAAAATGTAGTACACTCAATGTAAATAAGGGAACATTTTCATAGTAAGAATATAATTAATATCAATTTTACTCTCTATCACATTTAATTAACACGGAATTACAGAAGCAAGAAATGCAATATGAACATGCAATGAATATACCATATCAAAATATTGGAATATAAACAACAATACATTAAAAAAAGTACACAGTTAAATAAGCAATACATACAACAAATTTGAATACATATTTATGTACACAACAGCAGAACACAGAATTCCCAGAAAGCAAAGGATGTTTGCACTGAAACACACGAACACAAGAATTAGATCAGGATTCTTTGACGCCTGTTAGTAACAAGTACTGTAACCTCTCTTCTCCAGTATCTCATGGCTCCCTGAAACATCAAAGCTCCTGCATAACATTCTGGAACAAAAATTACACTCGTCACAGAAATCAACCCACTTCGTATTCCACCAGGCATGCTCATTTTCCTGCCACTTCAGACAGGTTGCCTTGGAAATGCCAATAAATGTGACCGGCCTATGAGGGAACTCCTGAAATCAAGGTTTTAAAACACTCCCAGACAAACATATCTCGTGTGCATCGAGATACTAGCCTTAAGATGAAACTAGTGTTATAATTGGCATGAAATAATACAACAGAATCAGCACACACATATCAAATTCACAACTAAGGAGGAAAAACATCGAAATGAAGTACACTCAACATATACAAGTAATATAAATAAGCCAAGCATTTGCATTGTAAGAATATAATTAATGTCAATTTTAATTAATTTTACTTTGTATCACAATTAATGGGGAATTAGAGAAGCAAGAAATGCAATACGAACATACAACGAATAAACCATAACAAGATATTAGAATTGATATAATAAGTGTACAAATAACAGCACAATAAATAAGACGTACAACAAATTTGAATACATATTTATGTACACAACAGCAGAACACAGAATTCCCAGAAAGCAAATGATAATGGCCCAATGGCATGTTTGCACTGAAACACATGAACACAAGAATTAGATCAGGATTTTTTGACGCCTGTTAGTAACAAGTACTGTAACCTCTCTTCTCTAGTATTTCATGGCTCCCTGAAACTTCAAAGATCCTGCATAACATTCTGGAACAAAAATTACACTCATCACAGAAATCAACCCATTTCGTATTCCACCAGGCATGCTCATTTTCCTGCCACTTCAGAATGGTTGCCTTGGAAACGCCGATAAATGTGGCCGGCCTGTGAGGAAACTCCTGAAATCAAAGTTTTAAAACACTCCCAGACAAACATATCTCGTGTGCATCGAGATATTAGCCTTAAGATGAAACTAGTGTTACATTTGGCATGAAATAATACAACAGACTCAGCACACGCATATCAAATTCACAAAAAAATAAGAAAAACATCAAAATGAAGTACACTCAATGTAAATAAGGAAACATTTTCATAGTAAGAATATAATTAATATCAATTTTACTCTGTACCATATTTAATTAACAGGGAATTAAAGAAGCAAGAAATGCAATATGAACATACAATAAATATACCATATCAAAATATTGGAATTTAAACGACAATACACGTAAAAAGAACACAGTTAAATAAACAATACATGCAACAAAATATACAACAAATTTGAATACATATTTATGTACACAACAGCAGAACACAGAATTCTCAGAAAGCAAAGGATAATGGCCCCATGGGATGTTTGCACTGAAACACATGAACACAAGAATTAGATCAGGATTCTTTGATGCCTGTTAGTAACAAGTACTGTAACCTCTCTTCTCCAGTATCTCATGGCTCCCTGAAACTTCAAAGCTCCTGCATAACATTCTGGAACAAAAATTACACTCATCACAGAAATCAACCCATTTCGTATTCCACCAGGCATGCTCATTTCCCTCTCAATTCAGATTGGTTGCCTCTTCCCAGCAGATGGAAATTTATCAACAGGCAGATGTCGTACAAATTATTTATCTGCAATGGACACATAGAAAATTGTATTTTATGAACAATTAACAGGAAGTTTAATCAATTTTATACAATTCAACAGTGAACAAACATGACAAAAATTCAATATGAACACATACATCAGTGCAACAGATAGGACAATTAAAAAAAATTAAATTAAAACAGCATCACATGTAGACCGTACATATTAACTCAATGGCATAAATAAGATGTGTACAAACATAACCTTCAATAATTATCTGTACTTTAACAGCTATAGAAGAGCACAGCACTTGGGAAAAAAACAAATAAAATGTCATGTAAAATGCTATGCAGCGTACACACAACACATACAAGTGGAATTATCTATAATTAAGAGCATGTTTAAAGTATTCTGTCACATTTCAATAATGTGGGAGTACATAACAAAGAAATGCAATATGAGCATGTATCAATCGACAAACAGGCCAATTCATAACGTCACATAGGCTGCATGCATAAACAACAGAATTGCATAAAAAACATACACAGCAGCAGAACACATATTTTCAGTTGGAGAAAAGCACAATAATTAGTAATTAAAGAAAGCAAACAATGGCGCATGTGGACTGAAGCATGTAATATAATGTAAATAAATGGGCATGGGCTTCAAGTGACCATTAACTGATCTTTTGTGCTTCCTTTTCTTCTAACCTACCAGTAGCCCCCAGCCACATCAAAGCACAGCACAGCACCCTACCTGGCGAGATCTCATGATAATCCTTCGATTTTGCTAAATGACTGACAAATGTCAAAATCCTCAAAAGCTCTTCATTAAAGAGCTTTCATTGGTGGCCTCCCTGTAGACCCCTGGTCTCTGAGACCCTGGGTCTATCTAGAGGATTATCCCCTTTAATTGGGGTATTGCTCTTTGACCTGGGCCTTGTAAGCACCCTGGTCAGAGCCTCCTTAAACTTAGGTAGTGTCATGTACCCCAGTTTTCATATGCTCCTGGTACCATCTTGGCTTTCTCTGGCATTCCAGACACGCAGTCTGTGCCAAATGTTGCCTGTCGTCCAGAAGGCCACAAGGCTTTATCACATTCTTCCATGGGTCTGCTGCAAATGCCAGCTCTCTGTGGTGGTATGCCAGAAATACTGACTCCCTGCTGAGAATGACCAGCTTTAAAATGGAGACTCCATATCACAGAACTTTTCTGGTAGTTTTCTGACAACTGGTGGGCTTCTGCCTCCGGTTGTCTTTTAAACTTTCCCAGGCTGGCTGATACTGAGAGCAAACTAAGGTGGTATGCTGGATCCCAGTGCCCTGAAGGGATGATTTGTGCCATGCAGCCCTCAGCATGATACCTCACACCTTGGCTTCGGTGGACCAGAGCCCTGTTAGCCGTCTGAGGACGTTACCCCCCTCCGCGACATGGACGCCAAGGGTTGGATTTTGGAGGGGACTAAAGCATGTAGAAAACCAATATTAATCCTGGCTTCTTTGAAGTCTATAGAAAGCTTAATACTGTTACCTTCTCAAACTTCATACTCTTGCAAGTACTGTACTTCATATCACTGCTGTACAATATTTGGGCTTTTGCGACACTTGTCATCACCTCACTGCAGTGTACCCAACAGCAGAATTTCTTTGGTGGAGCAGAGCCCCCTGTTAGTTATCTCTAGGGATGTTTCCCCCCTCCCCCTGGTGTGAACATCAGAGTTGGGTTTGGGATGGGATGCTGATGGATTACTTGAGTCTTACATAACATGAATTATAATGCTTCAAGCAACTTTTTAACATTTAAGTTTTGGATCGTATCACTTTCCAGGTTCTATTTCCTACTGAAAATTATGAATCTACTTTTGTGAAGTATTTTCTATGGACCACCTGCCTTGTATTGTCTTGGAGAAATCATCTGAATTCCACTTCTTGTTAGGGTATGTTCCTCTCTTCTCCACGCAGTACCTGTAATTAAACACGTAACACAAGAAATTTTATGTTTCCGTCGATCCAAAAGACGTGAAATTTGCAACACCTTCGAAAGATTTAGATCCTATCTTTGTACTGTGATTCGGCCTTGCGTTCAGGAGCCGAAACGTCTGTTTTCTACGTCGTTACTTCCAGATCAGCCTCCTGTAACAACGTCTAATGGAGCTGCGTATTTCTGTTTGCGGTATATGCGTTTCGACCCAGTGTTTTAGCACCAAACACGACACGCTGACATGTCCAATTCAGACTTTACGGATGGCGGATTCTGAAGCAAAGTTTAACACCCATTTTGATAATTACCGTGGCCGAGACTATTCTTAACTGCAAACGCATACGACAATGATTATACGGTTCGCACTGCGGGTTCCGATTAAACAGATTTTAATAGGGCTAACTACATTAAATCAATCGTCGCTTTACGAAATTATTCTCAGCCTAACTTTAATAACGACGCGCATACCCTTCATCCGAAAGCGAACTCACCCGGAATCTTTCGACAGATTAAGAAACTCTCCTGATGCCTCTCCCATTTCCCTCACCATCTTTACTACAGTCCGCACAAAATGCGCTTTAATCTATCTGGATACCTTGGAATTAATTATGCCAAGGGAAATTATTGAGGAAAACAATGTATTTTCCTATTGCGTTTCGGACGTAATTCTACTCTCTTTTTTTTGTAGCGTACCTAATCATTGTTATATTTCTGGTGTAAATACATTTTATTTCGGGCAATAAGATGGCTGATTTCTATTATATTTTTTTGTATTTTATTGGTATTTCGGAAACGTAACCCCCTCCCCAATTATAACACTGATTTTACGGTAAACAGCGACACGCTTTAAGATCGTCTGAAGGTTCCTTAGAGCGGGGACTGCCTGAAATTTCATCGATATTCTGAATCCAACGAGAATGCTGTACAATACACGTGTCCTAACTGAATAATCGGCTATGTTGAAGTTTATAAATCACGGACGCACTGTCCCATTGTATGCCCCATTCTAACTGCAAAGTAACCAGGGCCTGATCTATTACGTCGCAATCCAGCTGGGATCTCACTCAAACCTCGTCTGCGTAGGAAGTCGGCCTTGAGAGAAAAAATTGGTAGAATTGCGTACGAAATTCATTCCACGATAATTGAAACTGTTGTCGTCCTTTTTTAATAATTAGGCACAGTAATAATTTATTTCGCTGCTGTGGCAATTAATCACTATTCCAAACAAAAAATATGTGGGCTACAGAACGTATTGTTTACAGCCCCCGTTTGCATCAATTTTAAAAAAAAAAACAGAAAAATGACCAACACCCAGCGATTTGGCTTCAAAAGAACAAGCCCGAAGTCCGTAGCTAAGCTCGACATATTCTAACCTAACACGGTTAACCTCGTGTACAGCTAATGAATGAAACTTCTAGTTCAATAAAAGAAGGGTCGGCGAATTTGACTGCTAAGCTACCATCAGCTTTTGCAGAACGGCTCTGTACCATGTATTTAGTTAATATTCGGAAATAAAAAAACTATTAGTAAATCTACAAATATAAAACTCAATAAAATCTCTGCATGGACTGGCCTTCCATTTTATTCTGAAAGGAAATAGTTCTGCATTTCTACGAAGCAGCTTACCTCTTCACAGCAACGCCGGAAACAAAGTGAAAGGACGTTCTTTTCTCGAAGAACCACTGACGTAGTAATTAAATGAATGTAGTGGGGGTGGAAGTAAAGAACAGGTTATGGGCCAAGAAGAAGCAAACACAGACAGAAGTATGAGGTCGTACAGGGTGTCTACAAGGTTTCGTTCCGCAATCTATATCTTGTGTCTCTTTTCGGTGATTTCTAGCTTGTGGATGAGCGTTCTCAGCAGCATTTACAAAATCTTGGTCACCAGAGGCTCACACAAGCAACGCAAGAAATACTTGACTGTCTCACACATGAGGTGGATGTCCAATTTTGACAAGTTGGAACTCCTTTACCTGGTAGAAATTGTTTCCCGTATGCCTACCATTCTATAACGTTATTTTCTGCTTCTGTTACAAGATTACTAGCAACGTAAGCACACGTAACTGTAGGAAGTTATGTAGTTTCCTACTAGTTATTGTGCTACTCCTTTCCGGTGCTGCACCCCAGTAGCCAAATCCTTCATTCTGAGTTAATATACTCTGAATATCTAGAGCAGTGTGTCAGTGCACCACATCCAGCCTGAGACCGCTTGTAAACAGACCCACAAAATGATTTATTAGTTTGTTACTAATTACTTCAAGCTCATTTGTTTTCCTTATTCTGAAAGATTTTAAAAATTAATGTGATTCTTTTCCTGTCTGCTTCTACTCAAAAGAGTTTTTTGTTTTGTTTTTTGGAAATTCTTTGGGTTTTTTAGGGTTTCCCCCCCACAGCAAATGATACAAAATGGAAAAAAATACAAAAGAGTGTTCTATATTAAGTGAAATTTTCTAGGGGTTCCGCCCCACAACAAACCAACATCTAATTACAGGTTATATTACTGTGCTGGTGCTGCTGCTGCCACTGGCGATATCTGAAAACATAGCATACATGGGGATTCGAACACAGAACATTTAATATTAAACACACTGACAACCAAATAATAGTACCTTAACCACTACGCTACCAAGCTCATTTTACGTTTAAAAACTTCCTCATATCTCACATAATGCATAGTTGACTTATCAGGAAGATTTTAACAGAATTATGACATCATGTCTAATTGTCTAGGGGTTAAGGCACTGGATTGTTAAGTTTGGGGTTTGGTAAGGCTGTGGTTCGAATCCAGCAACCTGCAATATTTTTTTATACTTCATTTATTAATTATTTTAATAATTAAAATGCAAGATACCCCCAAACGCCATAGATTTTTATTATTTAAATTTATTAATTTAAATAAATTTATTAAAACGCAACATTATAACACTCAACTTTTAATGAGTCAGGTACTGTAGGAAGTTCTGCACTTTCTTACTAGTTATCTGTTCTACTGTTTTTGCATTTCAGCACCCTAGTATCCAAGTCCTTCATTCTGATTTAAGATCCCATCTTATACTATACAGGGACAGAATAACAACATTGAAAATAACTTTACCTGTAATTGTGTATATCTGAACTGATAAACTTTTGGTAATGAAATAGCCTTTGTATTTGTGAATTTATAACCCACAGAAAATATTACTTTTCTTAAACCTCTTCAAAAATTATTCATGATGGTCTGTTTAACCAAATGAAAACATAACCTGTGAATGAAAGATTGAGATTCTCATGGCAGTAAACAGGAAGTTCACACTGATGATGGTGGCAGCAAGCACATCTGAAACATTGATAACTTTCTACAAATCTACACAGCGCAACAACCCAGAGGTCATCTTCATAACCTGTGATGTTACTTTCACTAGGAATGCAATGTCAATGCACTTAGCAGAAAAACCGTAATGTGCATGATTGAGTACTGACTTATGTCATCTTACCTGGAATATATTCATGTGGGACAATCTCACTATGCATACAGCACCCTCATATTTCTTCAGGCAATCCAACTATAAATGTGGGGTATATGCATATATCAGTACAGTCTCACTAAGATGCAGTCTCAAAATACTCTACGGGACTGTCTCATCATGATTACAGTGTCTGCATTCCTGGAACATTGCTATTGGGAAGTGGTGCCAGCACCTTTCTCAAGATATGCAGAATAAATAAATTAATTTATTTAATTAATAAATAATTTAAAAATGCCTGCGGCCCAAACCACTCATTCACACAGGGTCTAAGAATTCAGTATCTATGTATCAAAAGGTGTCTACATATTTCTTAAGGCACTGTAACTAGGAATACAGTATACTGTTTTGTGACTGTAATCTTGAGACTTGCAAGGAATGCAGGAAGTCCAAAGCATACTACTATACTGCAGAGCAGATGCTACCTTTCCTCCTTCACCCCTCTTCCTCACCCTGCAAGTCTCAGGATTAGTCAGGAACTACTGTATTTCTCAACAAACTGGGAATGCCGTAATGTATTACTTGAGGTACTCTTGCTAGAAATGCAGTGCCTACATGTATCTCAAAATAATGTGTCTACATATTTCTTAAGGCACTGTCACTAGGAATACAGTATACTGTTTGCGACTGTAATCTTGAGACTTGCAAGGAATGCAGGAAGTCCAAAGCATACTACTATATTGCAGAGCAGACACTATCTTTCCTACTTCACCCCCCTTCCTCACCCTGCAAGTCTCAGAATTAGTCAGGAACTACTGTATTTCTCAACAAACTGGGAATGCCGTAATGTATTACTTGAGGTACTCTTGCTAGAAATGCAGTGCCTACATGTATCTCAAGATAATTGTAAAAGGAAAATTATTTGGAGGCACTCTCATTATTTTGTAGAGTTGTGGTTTAAAATATTAGGTATAAGTGAGGTTAGGTTTAGGCTTTATGAATACTTTTGATCTCTTTGTATTGATGTACACATACCTGTGATACCATGTTTCTGTGCCATTCCTTATAATAATATGTTGCATAATTTAATCCTAGTTAGTGTACTGGAATGTATGTTTCAATGTTAAGCAAAATATTTGTCACATGTGTATTCCAACAAATGTTTGTGCATATGTATATATTTGTAACATACTTATTAACTATACACAGAGAAAGGTAAAAGATGTTTTTGCTGTTTACTGTGCACCTATAGTGACTGTGAAACAATTTTAGAAGTTATTCTGAATGACTCTTGGCAAGTGACATGCCTTCAGTAACAGCAATATGCTTGTTGAACCACGTCACCCCAAGAATGGTACATGCAACATACATGCAACATAATGGTCTCAGAAAGTAGAAAAAACTGTATCTGCAGTAACTAGGTGCATAAATGGAATGAAACTTGCAACAATAATAGTGTGTTTCTTAAATTACATTTCACGTCAAAACTCTGCATAATTCAATTCCTGTATGGAAAAGAGTCCTCCAAAGAAGATAATTTTTGATAAAAATTCCCCAACAATCTGTAAATATCTGTTTCAGCAATGATGCACTGCTGATACTGAAGGTTGAAGTCCCTTCTTTGCCTTGTAACTACTAATAAAGATTTTCCAGTTTCACTGTTCCTCAAAAGTTAGGTTATAACACAAAGTTCACATACACTTTTCAGTATCTCATCTGTTTTTCTATTTGATATAAATATTTAAGAATATAACTACACTGCAAATTAAAAACACAGAATGGATTTATACAGAAAGTCCTAGAATTGAAGGAAAAATATCAAATAATTAATACACCAAAGGATCACTAAAGGAAACTTCACCAAATCAGAAACGTCCCAGCATAAAATGGAACTATATGCGACAAAACACAAGCTTATTTTCATGAAGCTGAATATTCATCATGATAAATAATTTTCTTGTTTCCATAGTACTGCTGATACACTTCACAGGTAACAACTAGCTAAATGTGCAACCCAACCATAAAGCATTTCTATACTCTTTGTATTACATGTCCACCTCAAAAACTGAAATATAATGAATGCTCCATATAAGTTTCTAAAAATTAGCAAGTTTTTAAAAAAGAAAATCTGTCATAATGACTGTCTTCCGGTATAGTGCGCCATGTACATTCTTCATGCAAACAATTTAGTATTTTTCTACTGCAGTATTGACAACTAACTTTAGCTTATGGCTACCTTCATACCCTGATGACTGAAGCAGCACTCTCCTCTAAAACATCAGGCAGTTTTTACCAGACTACATGGTGCTTCTGAAAACCTAAAAAGCTGCTGCCATGCCACAACACCTGTCTACTAGTGTCAAACACTGACCTGGAATTAAGATATTTTTCTGAAGTTATACGTTTGGAGCACAGCGCTATACGGAAGCGAAACATGGTCAGTGGGAAAGCCAGAAAGAAGAAGGAAAGAAGCATTTGAAATGTGGTGCTACAGAAGGATGTTGAAAATTAAGTGGACTGATAAAGTACGAAATCAGCTGGTCTTAGACAGGATAGGCGAAGGAATAAGTCTGTGGTATTTTATTTGTTAAAAATTAAGCCTTTGTACAGACACAATTTGGTGTCTTCTGTGTAGATTTCTTTTGTGTCAAGTCACATTTATAAAACTCTCTGAAAGTAATAAGGACAGCACAGATTTTTATTCCAATGCATCTACATTTTTCATTTTCTTGACTTTGTTTTCTTTCTTTCTTTGTTGTTTCCTTCTACATTTTTCCTTTTTTTGAGACTTGTTATATTTACAGCTGAAGCTTTCACATCTATGTGGACAGTGTTGTCAAGGACACCCCAGCTGTTAGTCTTTACTTTTATCTTTGCTCCCTTATGGTCAATTACTTTCCCACTTGCATCAACAACCAATAGCTCTCCTTTATTAGGTTTCTCCCAACCAAAAGTATTCTTCCTGGAAATAACCCACTCTGGAGATACTGCTACTGTCTTACATTTCTCCAGTTCATGTTCATCTTCCTCCTGAACACCGCGTCTCTTTTCTTTCTTGTGGGGTGCAGTCGTCTCTGCAGACAGATAACTTGATGAAGATCCAAAGAGCCGGATGCCTCCACTAGGCTGACCCTCTGTATCGCCATTCTGCCCGAAGCATGTAGATCCATCGACATGGAACTCATCCAGTTGTCTATAACATTTGGTAGCTTAAAACAAGTTTGTCTGCTTCATTTATTTCATACATGTTGCAATTTATACAAAACACAAAGTTCAAAAATTTATTACAAAAGAGTGTGAAATTTTTAATTATAATTAAAATTATTACAAATTATTAACTGTAGCAAAATAAATTCACATATGAGCCGGCTGTTGGATGGAGCTGTCCCCTTTATCAACCTCACTGGATTTATGTGATGTCACTTGGAATGTGAGGATTCTCGTAAGGAGCTTGGAAGGAAACAGCTGTGGCCAGTTTAGGTTTTACCCAAAAGACTGGGTAAGTCAATCTCATCTGAAACAGCTGCTTCCCCAACTATAATTTCATCAGTATTCAGATACCACTAAGCTAAACTTCTCACTTACAAATGTACCAATTTATTGTATACAGTGCACTCTGTGGGCAAAATTGCATGAAATATAAACCGTTCTCAGCATTATAACATTAATTGTGAGTGTATTCATAACACTGTAAATCTTAATCTGATTTTATATAACTAATCTCATGATTTACAAAGCTGATTGTAAATTCTAAAGTCATGTGCAGACAGAAGTGTAGATGTGAGGCTGACAGCCTGAACCTGAAACACATCTGACTGTTACTAGAAATATGAAAGAAGCTTGCGATACTCCATTTACAAGCAGTTCACAGCCAGCAAGTTGTTATGTGAAGAATATTCAAAACACATTTCCAATAGACTCACTATTATCCAGGCATAAATTAACTGGGGTCTATCTGGTTTAAATAGAAATTAATTTAGAAATGTTGTTGTTGTTGAAGTTAGAATGTTTGAAGAGGGAATAAATACAACAATTACATTATTTAACATATTAACATAAATCAGTTGTTGCTAAAACTGGAAGTTTTTGACAATAGAATATTCTTACTATCTGTTGGAATCTTTTTTTAAATAGTTTGTATGTACTGTATTAAATTCTATATAAAATCCTTTGTTGTTGTTAGTAAATCTTTAAAAATGTAAGTACTGCATGTCTATAAATAAGCTTTTGTATTTGTTACATATATATGTTTTTCTTTAATTTTTGTGGATTATCCGAGGTTTCGATTATCCACGAAAATATATTTCCCAACCAAATCAGATAATCAGGAGTGGATTTTAGTTTGCACATAAATGGGTCTACTATGACAGACATAAAATGCATTCGCAAAACTTCATGTTTATAATGAAATCAACATCTGCATTACACATGTTTAATTCAATGAGTTGTTTCAAAAAGAATATTACCCTTATCAACTGCATGATGTTATATGAAAGTGCCTCAGCTTAATTAAACCCCACACCATCATATGGGGAGTAGAAGTATAGTTCCACACATTCTTGACCTCGGTATTAGAAGAAGGTGAGTACACAGCTTCATGCCCCAACCACCTTGGTAACCATTGGATAGCAAGCTGGGTAATACACAAAGCTGTTCTGGGTGTTGTGTCTGCTCAGACAGAAATCAAACCCATCATCCAGCCCGTAGCTGTATCTACAAACAAATAATGATAGTGGACTTTACCCAATCTTACCGATCTATGATCCTGACTAGATGCTTGGCAACAAAGGCTTGAAATTCTGGTGTAACATGCAGTTCATTAAACTGCTGTTCCGTGTCCAGCTGTGGGCGAAGTGAAGCAGGCTTCTTTTGCTTAGATGTTCCATTATGTTCTACAACATATGCATCACCTTATTAACAGTAGGAGAGTTCCAAAGACTTCCCACTTACATTCCACCCTGTGCATCCATATGCTAGTGCAAGTAAATTTGAAACATTCCACTAGTGCTACAAGTATAGGCCAGGTTATGCTGTATTCATTTCCATAACTCACCAGAATTACTCTTTGCAGGATGCTCTGGCTGTTCAAATAATCAGTTAAACCATACAGCTGTCTACTAACAAAAATGAGTTTACCTTTGTGTGTGCCACTATCAGTCCTGTTTGATGTAAACATAGAATCATTTATAAATTGCCCATCAGCAGCTTCCCTTAACATATCAAAGTTTTCTTCGCTAGATGTGTCTGAAGTTGACATAGTGGCGATTATCACCTAAATTAACATGCAAAACCAGTGTTTTATGTTTAATATTAAAAATACTTGAACCTAAACTACAAAATAACATTTGTGTTATTGAACACAGTGAAGACTTTCAAGCATATAACTAAATATTATGGTTACCATTGATAATTATAATTCAGCTATATTTATATAAGCCCTCTGCAGTTATTTGCCACATGTAATTTATTCGACAGTAATTGCTTCATAATTCGGTACTTACTTGTTTTAGGTTAAGGGTGTTTCCCATGAATTACATGGTTCTCCATTGTATTATGCTAGTTGTTTCATCTGACGAGACCAATGAAAAATTAATAATACAACGACTTACTGAAGCATTCTCCATTGTCGTACACGAAAAACTTGGGCAATGTGTATAAACAGTTAAGCCTTTCTTGCAAAAACGAATGGGAATTTGCCGGCTTCTATGTGAACTTCGTATCTTTGCTATCTACATCGACCTGTAATACTTAGCGACGCGATATGATTGGTCAGGAGTGTTGAAGCCCTCTTTTAAAATTAATTGCGGGAAATGGTACACATGTACGTAGCAGTGTTTAAAAAAAATCGTAATATATCATTGGAGGTAAATATAGGCTATGATCCCATACAACATGTTGATTTTGTGTACTACATCAGTGACGCGAAGTGCACACGTGGAAGTCAGTTTAATTAAATATTACAAATTTGTCATCAGGTCCCTGGACCTTAGAGTTTGCTCAATGTATGTTCAGTTTTACAGATGACCCTACAGCATGAACTTAAAGGTACGGCTTAGAATTTGACAAAATTAGACCTAACAAAGACACACGATGTTGAGTCATCATGGAACATAATATAAATGGCAAATACAATTGCCCCTTAAACATCATTTACTCCATGCATCAGAGCCCTTCTCGAGAAGTTAATAGTGTGCTCAGATAATCGAAAAATTGTCTTCCTCCTACGGAACCCAATGGCTCAATATGTTCAACAGGGTACACCACTGGTCCCTATCATGAGCCATAAGAATCCATTCCATGCCCCTAAAACCTATTACTACAAAAACCATTTTAATATTTTCCTCCTATCAATTTCTTGGTTGCCCAAATGGACCCCTCCTTTGGGGATCTCATTAAAACATAATGTAAATCCCCCATTTCAATATAATAAACATTAATAGTGATAATATACAGCGAACTCTTGTCACAGAGTTGACACTGAAAGGCCTCAAGCCTTATCATAGTTTGTTGAGACTTGGCTGTTTCTTGTCCCACAAAGTCATGCAGTCCATATTAAGGTATTTATTGATGGCTAAAATTAAACATATTTTGATAGAATTAATATACACACAATATCGCTGTGACATTAAAGAGGCCACACAGGTCATATCATAATGTAACCTGCTCATGCCAGTTCGTCAATTGTTTTTCATTTAGGATCAGTCAGTGACTACTTTTGATTCATGTATCTTTGTTTTCTTTTCAGCCTAATTTTCCACTTTAAGAACAAGACAACTGATCGCAATCTCAGTCAGGAACCATGCCTATGATATGGGCTTTCCCCAACGTGTCCTGTCAAACTGCCTAATCTCCAAGAGTTTCATGAAGAATTAAAATATAAATAATTACCAGCATGGCACAGTGTGTTCGCTGAGCATATAATATTTATTCGCGTGGATAAAAAATCCGTTGTTAGAAATCCGTCACTGCACTTCTATTCTTTGGCACTTTTCAAAAACCTGCAACCCCCCCCCCCCTCAAACCATCTTCTTTTTCGAATATGCTTACTTCACAGTTCCCAGCTCCTTGCACACTAACGTCATCCATCTACAATTTTGTTTTAATTAAACGACGTTTCTGACTGTAATCGATTAGACTTGTGTGGTTTACTTTTGATCTGATACAAATGTGACTATATACATAAATATTTATTTTCGGCTTCGGATAATGTGATACCTTTCATCCGTCTTAATTGTTCAAATGTTCAACAGTGACTGAATCCACAGACATTACACGCAGCAGCATTATACAATTCACAGGAAAATACGAATCGATAGTAAAGTTGGTTTCGACCCACAAAACAGGTCTAAGACGAAAATCATAATAAATGACGCTGAGCAGACAACTGGAACAACCATTACCATAAAATTTTATCAACATTTTATCAATAAACTAAAGAAACGTTACTAGCCTTTTTAAAGTTCAACAGTAACTATGTCACACCGGTTTTTACAGTTAACAACTCTTCATTTTATATTCATGTTTCTTAAACAGCATTAATCAACTGATCTGCACTGATTTCTTAGATATTATTTATAAGAGCTTCTGTTTCGTAGTGTTAGAAATGCGAGTGTCTATCGTGTGAAACAACCTTTTCATTCGTCATGTTTATTTCTGTCGTCTATTTACTTTTTCTCCATAGTCATCGCGTACAATATACATTACATATGTAAAAAACCATTTCATCCACTTTTATGGTATCTGGTGATGTAAAATGTTTCCTGAGGAAACCACGCAGAGATAAGCCTCTTCCTAAGCTAATGCAGGGAACTTCTTCAGCAAGTCATAAAGTCATGTTACTTTCTAAGTTTTAACTTTGCTTGTTACTCTGAAAATACAGCTTATAATCTGCAGACCAGGTAGCGATGACAGAAAGAGCTCGTTTCGAATATCAGACGGGGCAGCGGCCATTCTAACCACTTTTCGTGTTTTTCCTCAGCCGTTCCAGGCTAATGTCAGGGTTGTATCTTGAAACATACAAAAATTATCCCAGCCAGCCAGACGCTCACCACGAGAGTAATCCTAAAGTCTCTGGCTAACAGATGCATTGTATCCGATCTGTTGAGCTGTGTTCCAGAGTATGTAGTATCTCTCAACCATGAAAGTAAGACAGAAGACTTAATTTTTCGTCCTTCTTACCTCGTCTTAACCGAGCTAAGACGGCTGACTGGTTAACACGAACGCTTCGCCCCTGACAGGCAGCGTTTAACATAACTGCGGAGTAATGAATTAACCGATGTCATAACCATTGCTCTCACTGGGATCTCGGAATATGTGGAATAATTCCAAGGCTTAGGCACGCATTGTGAGCAACGAACCGGTTCCGGATACCGAGAAGCCTTCGCCAAGACAGATCCTAGAGCGTGTGCGTAAGACACACTGTGGTCATGTAAGGATTGCGCCGTTCAACACAAACGTCGCTTTGTGAACCAATTACAGATTCCTTTGTTAAGGTTTCTGTTTGTGAGATGATTACTAAAGGTACAGATACACATTTGTACCGCAGGAATTTTATAGTAACAGTGTAAATCGAGTGAAAAAAATACTATTTAATAGCATATGCTAGTTTCTTCGTAATGCATTCTGTTGCTTGTATCCAGCGTGAGAGTGATTTATAAACATAAATATTGGGACTATTGTACGTACTGCACTCTTATAGCTACTGACAACTTCCCGTTGTCAAGAAGATAAAGGTGGAGGAACGTTGGACTATTTGACAAAGAAGATAAATACAGTTTTACTTCAAAAAAAAAGGTAATATAAGCTAATGGATTTTTCTTCTTAGCAACGTGAAAAATCTTATTCCCAGAACAAGTACACAATGCCTGAACAAGGTCACATTCTAAACACAACATGGGGGTATCTTTTTCGGGCCTAATTAACCTTGTGGAAAATTATCGCCACATTTTGAGTACAAACATTTTTATGAGTTTTAAAAGTATCGCCATTTACAGTGTGTTGTTTTCATAGCGTGGTGATTCAGCATAGGGATAGGCCAATTTTACTTTAAATTTATCTTTATTTTTCAATTACAACTCCTGTTTTGTGTTAAGTTGATGTGGAACTTTATCAAGTTTAAGAAAACTCGTAACACATTTTTCTGTTTTCCTTTAGATTTAGGGCAAACAAATTATGGCCAGTAATAATACAGCGTCGTTATTAATAATAACTATAGGTCGTTATTCATTTTTAATTTCTCGTAAAAGGACTACAGACAAACTACTGTAATTCAAAAAAAGAATAAAATAGATGAAAATAAAGATAGAGATTTTTAAGAAAACTCAAGTTTCTTGGGAGGGCTGACTCTTGTGAAAGAGATAATGAAATTTCGTGTTCCATAAAGGCCTGAAATTTCGTGAACTCCTGAAAAAAAAGGACCCTTCTCCATTTCGTTAAGTAATAAACATGTTTATTAGTGTGAATAATTAATGTACATTCAGTACTTTTTGAAAAGCTGCCTTTTCGAAATATATTAATCTGGCAGACACGTAAAATATAGCTGTCATCTCCTTTCTTAGATACGTAGGCCTTAAGATGTTTGAAACATATTAGATCGAAACACGACTATAATTTATATAGAACCGGCTCGTCCTTTCTTGCTAAGCCTGCGACAGCAGGATAAAGCACCTTAAACGCACTAAACTGCTTGTGCTTAACTGTAGGGCGCATAGTTCAGGCATTATTTCTACGGCGCACGGATTATACTCAATCCTGACATCTGGTGAGCTGACAGACGAATGCCTGTCGCGGACCAGAACGCCAATGTAATGTAAGGAATATCTATATACTAGTGAAAAAGCCCGTTAAAATTCAACGGGGAATGGTCACTCTGATATCTTCTCCCCCTACCCTCTTTTCTCCTTCCTTTGTCTCTTTCATCCTTCATCGCATCCCGTACGTTGACCCTTTCTTTTTCCATCTATTTCAACTCAGAAAAAGAATGGGAAAAACCGGCTGTGCTACGAACTGTCTTATTTCAACACATTAGAAATACCTCAAAAAGGTCCGTAAAGGTAGCAGAACTTTTAAAATAAAACATAATTCCATGTAGTGTTATTACCGAGATAGATACCAAACGCGTAAAAAAAATACGAAAGAATGAAACTGGGGTTCAATACTAATATTAATTGGGTTATTTTGTAAAGCGTTTTACACTTCAGACACGTACATAGGAGAGGAGAGAATGTAAAATAACTACAATTTGAATTGATCGTCGGAGTGGGAGGCCCCAGAATATCTAGCAGTGGTATCCAAAAAATCATTAAACTTTAAAGTATTTATATGGGAAGCAGACAAGGGGTATAAAACTCCATTTATTCATATTCGCAATAAATTACCAATAAAAATAAGGATGCAGAATCATAAAGAACGAACATGAAAATTCTGTGTGATTCAAACATGAAGGATAAAAATTGGCACTGGTGTTATTACACGGATACGCTTTCGTGGCTAGATTAATAATAAAGAAACCGGAATGTTCACAATGACCATGAAGTAAGTGACGTCAATAATGAAAACAGCAAGAACTGAAACTGGAGATGGTGTTCTGGGTTGAGACGTCGTGTGGACTAGTGGGCAGATATCAAAATTTCGGAGAAACAGACTGTCTCCATCTTCAGGACTGCGGATGGAGAGAGCATATTTCTGCAAAACGTTGGTATCTACTTAAGGGTCACAACCCGGAACATCATCTTCATTGCCGTGATAACCTCGTAACTCACAAGAAATTAAATTCTTTGTACATGAATGCTAACCTAACCCAACCTGAAATGTAGGCACTTTTCTATAAGACAACTTTATACGAATTACGGGCTGAAAACAGTTGCAACTTCATTGTTGATTTATTAGACAACAGTCTTGCTGTTTTTAAAACAGTGTTTACAGTTTGAAACACAATTCTATTTTTATTTTTACTCCTGTGCAACAAAAGTTAATCACAGATATTCCAAATGAACAAACTAAAAATAAATTGAGTTGTTCTTTAATTTCACTTCTTACCATTATCTCTCTGAAGTCTTCAAAGTTTTCATCAATGCTGCAGAAGGTGATACGCGGTGTCTTAAACATCATTTGGTGGTGGATGTGTCTGCAGATGGGATGCAGCCTTCACGTTTCTCTGGTTGTGGTGTTTGTCTTGGTCCTGCCATCCAATCTTTTTTTTTTCGGTCAGAATTATGGCAGTGTCGAGAGGTCAAGGAGAAAGACTGACCTACAGCACCCACCCTCTCCTTGCCCCAGCGTGTTCTCATATGAGGGGCAAGAGGCAGAAAAGGATCAGTGGTTTGGGGTCATCCTTGTCACCACTGAAGAACTTCTTGCAGGCTTGCGACTGGATTTGAGGCTGGACAAGCCTGCAAGTTTGCTAGGAGTAAGAAAGTCACTTTACTATTACAGGAGTTTCAAATAACTCAGAACCCACTTACTAGCTAGTAACAGCTATGTTCTACACTGTGACTGATTAATTCTTAGGTTATTTAAAAGTTATATTGCATTGGATATTTACAGATGATCATAAATGATAAGTAGGAAGGAATCTGGAAGTATCACTGCTGTGATAATAAGTTTGGTGTTAATAATTATAGCTTTATGTTAAAACCTTGCATCATCAGTGGCAAAAAAGAAGTTAAATCATATAAAATGAATCAAAAGATTATGTTTTTTTAACAGAGCATAAAGGTAAGTTCTTTACAAAACCATATTTAGTAATACTTCACTGGATGTTGGTTACACAGGAGTTATATTGGGCACGTAGCTATTAGTCCACTGGTCTGATGGCTGTTGCTGGGTTTTGCCACTGATGATGACCTCTTGAGGTAGAAACGCGTTTGGCACTAGTGTCCTTCATAGTGCAAACAGTTTTGTTTATATGCATATTTTACATAGCTTTATGTATACAATCATGTGCATATCTGTAGATGTACATGACACATATCCAACGATTTATTCACATACGACATAACAGGTATTCGTTTGTTTTCCAGAACTGGCTTGGTGAGGTGAAGAGCAAAGATAATATTCACTTTACTATCCTGAACCTGAACCAGAAGGTGATGCCAGGCCCACCACTTTCCATCCGCATATTTGTAAAGTTCCCTCAAGGTCAGAGTGTGCCCAGACTACGTACCATCCACATCAATGGACGGCAGATCTGCCCAGCTGATCATGGTAACAGTTGTTATTGTCAGTATTGAAAACAATAATGTAAATTTCAGTAATTTCCAAACTGATGAATTATAGTTATAACTCTATACAGTACAGTAACTACTGCTGATTACTTCTGTCAACAGCAGAATTGTGTCTGCAATAAACATCCAAACTAATGAAAAGTACTGAATTGTAAAGAATGTATTTTGAAAATATGCATGCTACTAACTGTTCTTCTTTATTACAATTTAAAGATTAATATGCAAACAATTATATCTCTAGGAAGTACACCAAATACCCAAGAACCTATAACAACAACCAGAAATTCTTCTCTTGTGACTGAAAGGAGAGGGAGCAGTATAACAGCACCAGATTATGCAGGTATATGTCACTTGTAATAAGGTAAAACATTTAATCATACTTTCTTTTTCAATGCAGCATACCTTTATGAAAGTAAAACTCCATGCAACCAAATACATTTAAAAATTAAATAGCAATATTTAATTTAAACAATAACACAGGTAACACAAATGAATGGCTTCAATGTGTGGATATCATGAAGATAACTGAATCTCTAAAAGTTCCTGAAAGTATAGTAGCAGGTAAGCAGAACAAGAGATGCTACAGACAGATAAATAAGCCTGAAACAGCTGAAGAACAACCTGATTCTTAAATTATAACATTTATTAATTCAGACAGGGCATAGTTTTAAAGGTACACATGAAATTAGATCAAACATGAATTGTGATTATAGTTTTAAATCATGTCTTGGATATAGGATATTTGTGTACATTTATTTCATTATCAATCACTCTCATCATTACCACAAACCACCTGAAATGGGGATTTGCTGTGGACTGACCACTTACACAGATAAATCCTTAAAAATGAAAAACTCTCAAAATTAACACCAGGACGGATCAACACTAGGGATGTGACAGAGTGGGAGAGAATTTCATTCAATAAATAAATTAATTCACACTGATTTTATTTTATATATTAATTCCAGATATAAAATATGGCAAATGCTTCTTGGTAGGAGAAGTATGTACTGCTTGGTTGGAAGACTGGAACAAAATCTGAAGAAGCTGTGTTAATTTATATTTGAAGGTGGCCAAATGGAGTGTGGCAGAGTTGCAGTTCAGCCTGCACCCCTCATCACCCATGGACAGAACACTGCAAGGGGTCAGTTCCCATGGCATGCAGCACTGTACCAGTCTAAGGATATCAACCTCAAATACATCTGCGGTGGGTCATTAATTGGGCCAAAGACAATACTCACAGGTACTGGTTCATTAGAATCATACTGAATATTACTGTTTTCCTTCAGCATTTGATGAATATACTTCTGGTCAAGAGGTCCTTGTTATGGAACCCATACATCCATACTGTTTTTATAAAACTCTTCTATTGGACCCAATCCTTTTTTCTTTTTTTATCATTTGTCCTGCTTTGGCAGGGTCTTTTTGGAGGTTTGTATGATCTATTTAGACATTTGGTAGGACTCCTTGGATGAGTGATCATCCCACTGCAAGGCCTCTAACTGCACACAGGACAGCACAACACAGAAAGACGCAGACAAACATCCATGCCTTCAGTGGGATTCGAACCCACAGTCCCAGTGTCCAAGCAGCACAAGGCCCACGCCTCAGACCACGCGGCCACTGTGACTGGCCATTGGACCAAATCCTGAATCAGTTTTATCTAGTTCATATGTTTGGAACCTATTCTTCCAACATCCATTATAATATTACCCTCTCACTTTCACCTAAAACTCCCAGATGGTATCTTTCATACTCTGACTAAAATTATGTGTATACATATTGTGTTCTCTTACTGCAACAGCTCTGTGAAGTGTTCAAAATATGAAACTGATCATTATTTAACTTAATCAATTTTTCCATTACTTCATATGCTTTGAGTTCAATATTGCAGTGAAACAGAATAAAATTAAATGTACTAGATAACTTTTGATGTAGACCCGCAATACCAAAGTAGTGTAAAAAAACACGGGGTTGACAAGATGTCTAAAACCATGTCAAACTGGAAAAAAACTTTGAACTATAACCAGGGGTGTGCAGTCAGTTTGTTAACAAAAAACTCACACCAGCAAGGTATATTTTCTTTGTTGTTTTTAAAAAAAATTTAAATAAAGTTTGGCATCTGGAAGTAAGAACAGGCAAGATGTATCAATATTCTTATATTGATGTATGCCTTGTATCTTCTGATATTTTCTATGCTGTGACACAAGCCTGACTATAACTATGAAATTACATGGAACATGGATACATATAATGCCATGATATATAGTATCCTAAGTATTTTATATAAATTTTCAGCTGCTCACTGTGTGACTAAGTCCACTGTGCTCCAGCCAGTAGATCCAGACAGTTTGCTTGTGTACCTTGGGAAGTATCATCTCAAACAGTGGAGTGAGGGTGGCGTTCAGGATAAGCAGGTATGATGCTACAAATTATGAAATGTTCTGCTGGATCAGTGTGCTCCAGCCACTAGATCCAGACTTTGTGTATCTGGGAAAGTACCACTTATAGTAGTGGAGTAAGGACGCCATGCAGAACAAATTGATATGATGTTCCAAAAATGGAACAGATTTGGACAACAGTATAGCTGTCCCACTACACGCCATGTAGGCGCTTGGGTGGAGTGGAGGTATAGCTCCTACTCTTTCTTGACCTCGGCACCAGGTGGGGGTGAGTGGTCGGCATCACGCCCCAGCTGTGCTTTACCCTGGGAAAGGACCCGGTACCCATTGGATAGGAGGCTGGGTGGGCCCCAGAGCCGGTCTGGTCGCAGAAGCTAGAGGAAAAATTCTCTGCCCTCGTCGAGGATCAAACCCCAGTCGCCCAGTCCGTAGCCAGTCACTATACTGACTGAGCTATCCCGGCTCATTTTGGACAACGTAAGGCAACTATATAATCAGACTCTTTTGTTCATTCACAAAAAATACTGAGATTGACTAATTGATTTTTATGCTATTTTAGTGTTTCTGTTTCAAATGTTATGTTGTTTAGCATGGCCAAGGTAGATAGATTATTATGAATGATAGGTAGATAAGGATTTGGAAGGTGGTGTTACAGCTCATTCGAAATTACTATCATGACATTAGTGGGGGGAAACATGATAATACCATAAAAATCCTCAGTCAGTCTATACAGTAACTTGGCTGAGACCTGAACCTGGCATTGTCCAAATGTGAGTTCAGAATATTACCATTACACTAATCTGCTTGCTAACATACTTGCAATATTTTTCTCTCTTTTACCCTGACTCACGCTGAAGAAGGTGAGTTTATTGTGAATAAGTTTCTAATTATCCTACATAAATGCTATAAACTCAACTGGGATACTGGGATGCTGGAACGACCCATTCTTCAAGTGCCTGAACACTGCAGGTCCCAACTTTTCGTTGGCTTGATCTATAGACGTTTTGGTAGGACTCCTTGGACGAGGAATTGGCCCATCGCAAGGCCTCTACCTGTACACAGGACAGCACAACACAGAAAAACGTGGTCAAATATCCATTGCTTGAGTGGGATTCGAACCGACGGTCCCAGCCACTAAGCAGCACGAGGCCCGCGCCTCAGACCACGCATAAACTCAACAAACATTTAAATTACTTACTGAGGTGATGAATGTATGGTTCACAGATGTGCAGTATACAAACTGAACACAAGCTAATTTCTATATAAATGTTTGTTCAGGTGGTCAAGATTCTGGTCCACCCAGCATACAATAATTCCAACTATCAATCTGACCTGGCCTTACTGATTCTCTCCAGCCCTGTTAAATTTACTACAAATGTGAGGCCAGTGTGTCTTTGGGACAAGAAAGAAGCTGATCTGGAAAATGTTGTGAACAAGGAAGGCACAGTAAGTAACATTTCTTGTTGTCTTCAGTGCAGTTTTCAATAATGTTCATCTATATCGAGAAAAGGAGTTCTACGATTCCACCTGCAGAGATAATATTATGGTTGTGTGTAATAATGATGGTAATGATAAGAATAGCAACAATATAATTATTAAAAAATGTAAGTTTCTAAATGTTTATTATCATTTAACCAATTAATTTTACCATTCTTTACACCTCATGCTATATTATTCTTTAAAGAACAGATGTATATAATTTTCAATTAATTTTACCATTCTTTACACCTCCTGCTATATTATTCTTGAAAGAACAGATGTATATAATTTCATTCCACAATAAAAAGGTCATAGGCTGGGGCTATGATGAGACTGGGCAGATCACAGAGGAACTAAAGATGTCAAAGATGCCGATCGTATCACAGCAGGTCTGTCTGTGGAGCAGCAGTGATTTCTACCCTCTCTTCACATCTGATAAAACTTACTGTGCAGGATTTCGAAATGGTACGTGCATGCTCTTAACCAAGAATAGAAATAGGTACTCCAATATTGATTATTCAGAGTTCTAACATGCTCTTTTTAGTATTTCTTATTCTTAGTGTATATTTATTGCAGATATAAATCAGTAGATCTAACTTCAAGTACTATATTGCATGCAGCAATGGCCACATACATACCATAATTTCCATTTTAAGCCTGCAAAGATTTAAAATTTCCTCCTATACTAGTAATATGAAAACAACAAAGATAATTAAGAAGTTAATTTTGATCTATGTCAGCCCAGTATACCCTGTTAAGAAACATGAATTGTATTTTTCAAAGACCTCTAATGCTGTGTAGTGGCGTGCTGAGTTGTGCTTATATTAATTAAAAGCTATAATTTAATCAGACCATGAATATCTATAAGGAACACTTAAGTCTGGTGTGATAATACTTAAATGTATACTAAATTTATAAGAGGTAAAATCTGAACTGAAATTAATTCATTTATACAATTACAGGGAAAATATTTCTCTACTTTGTACAGGTAGCAGTGTCTGCAATGGTGACAGTGGTGGCGGAATGGTGTTCCCTCGGAATTCGAGTGACGGTTCAGTTACATGGATGCTTCGAGGTGTTGTCTCTATTAGTAAACCGAAGGGAATTCATCAACCTGTGTGTGATCCCACAAACTATGTTATATTTACTGATGCTGCAAAGTACCTAGACTGGATCCAGAACCATATAAAGTAAAAATTCAATGAAACATCATTTAGGCCTCTTTTGCACACAAAAATAATATTAACATGGACAAAGGAAGTATTATACTGCAGCGCATTTCTGATGATTTTCATCGCAAGACACACTTAATCATTGTCGTCCACATGACACAGCTTATATGTGGACCAGCTGCGCTGCTAAACAATTTAACCTGAAGCTAAATTCCAATGGACACCTACACAATTCTTCTTCTACTTCTATGGCTCTCCGGTCCGTATTCGGTCCATGGCCTCCTCAATTCTCCTCTTCCATTCGGTCCTCTGTTAGGTCCGTCTGTCCGAGGCTTTGATCGAGGTTTCAAAACATCTTCCTTTTTACGGTGCAAGGTTGTTGGCCTTACAACAAACCCCCAACCTGGAAGACCAGGGTACCTGTCTTAGTCTGACCTCTCCCCCTCGACCAATCTGGCTAGGGAGGCCCTACCAGTAGCTTTGCTACCGCTACACAATAGAGGGATTTAAACCCCCAAATTCCACATGCCAAGGTTAAAGACATATTATGAGAACAATATGCATAAGATTCTCCTATAAATGTTATGTTCTTTTAAACCATGTAAAATGTTCACTTGTAACAAGACACACGCACGCAATGTCACTGGCTGTTCAAAGAATTGTATGTTTATCCTCATGTGCATGTACAGCAAAAATAAACATTTTTTTAGAACACTAAAACAATTTGTCATTTTCTCCTTTAGCAATTACCAACATGTAAATTATAATTTTATACCAAAATTACTTACTGCCAGGTTAAAAAATTATTCTTTCTGCATAAAATACTAATGGTGATGTAAACAATAATGTTGCAAAATTAATAAACACTGGGAATGGTCATATCTTTTTTGGAACTCATTGATAAAGAAAAACCTATAATTTGTCACTGTAATTATTCTTCTTAGTTGATCAAAGATCATCAAAAATCTAACTGACACTAAAATGTCAAAGCGGTAAATATACTGAGGGTACAAATTATTTTCCTGTGAAATTTATTGTATTAAATGTTAAAACCTTTCATGCTTCATACTTATCACACACTGATTTGATAGAGAAATTTAATATTTTAAACTCAATAAAATAAAGTCATTAATTTAACAAAATAAGTCAAAAGTCTCGAATTAATGGAGTGTAGATTCTCATATTTGTATAAATGACAACAAATGAATGTTCCTTCACATGGTTTGACTAAGTCTGTGACACATTACCATTTGAAGCAATTTTAATCAGAGTTCAACAATGGGAAATACAAAGTATGTGTGCTGTTGTGGCCAGAAATTGTGTATTTGAAAAAATAATTAATGGGTTCACAAATGAATGAATGAATCAATCATTATTTCTGTGTCATCAGACAACATAAAATTCGCCAAGGGATTTCAACGAATATCATGAAAATGTTAGCTGAGAAAATTTTAAATGTGGTAAGAATATGAACGTGTTTATTGACTTAAATGTTACATGTGCCAAACTCAGCTTTACATAAGGAAAATAACACTGACACAAGATCACTGTTACAAGTTTTAACCAATGAACTGATGTAATGGAAAGATGCAGGCTACAGTGCTCGACCGGGACCGCGACATTTAACGCTGCTGTGACCTCCTTTTTGCGAGATGATGATGAAAGTTGAGTAATTGTTGGGATGCCACAGAGAAACCGGTGAAACCCCGGAGAAAAACTCCGTGATGCCTAGACCACGGCCTTAATTGGGGTGATGAGAAATGTGTACAAAACGTTTGTTAAAAAGCCTGAAGGGAAGAGACCGGTCCGTGATGCCTAGACCACGGCCTTAATTAGGGTGATGAGAAATGTGTACAAAACTTTTGTTAAAAAGCCTTAAGGGAAGAGACCGGGTAGAGGACCTAGGCATAGATGGGAACATAATATTAAAACGAATCTTAGTTAAATAGAGTTGAAGGGTATAATTGGAATCACTTGGTTCAGGATAGAGACTAGTGGCAGGCCTGTGAATAGTAAATATGGTAATTGTTAATGAAGGTTACTGTATTAATAAAACCAATGTGGTATGGTCCCTCGAAACGCCATGGCCTATTCTGAAATGCATCATGATAACAGCGAGTTGTTTCCAGTTCCTGTTCCGTTGAAACACCTCTCCCCACCATCCACAAATTCAGCAGGTGTTAATCATCACGGCAAATTCAGCTGGTTTTCCCCACCTCTGCATGCCTCAAGGTTAATCTCTTGCGGAGTCCGTGCTTTACATATTCCCTTCCTTGTGGGAGACCACTCCGTTAGAACAAACCGCAGTTTCCTGTTTTCTTATTTTGTGCCCGGAGCTAAAGACAAACGAAGGGTACAGATGAAAATCTCTCAGTAGCAGCCAATCTCTGTGTGAGTTTGGAAGAATGCTAAACCACTTGTTGCTGGCACTGGAGACTTTCCGTAGTTTCGGAGCGATGTGGCAGGTGAATAGCGAAGAATAACGTCGGTGTTCCCGAATACGGATGAATTGTTATTGAAGTTTCAAGTTCTGGCAGTGACGACAAAAATTATTTCAGGTATTTGTGTTTCTGATTTGGAAAGACAAGTTTTTCGGAAAAGGTCTACAAACAAAAGGCTGATGCATGTAAACTGTACTTCTATTAATATTTAAACTTTATTAGCACTCTTCACTCTTGCTTCTTATTCGGGAGGTGTCTTGTTCAAACCTCGGGCCGGATACCTACTGTCTTGACTGAGGTGTTTCGTGAGTTTCCATAGCCTCTCCGGAAAGTACTCTAAATTATACTGCGATCACGTCCTTCCACATCCCCTACAGTTCACTGTTCATTAATCAGCGATATCTAGATGCTGTGTAGTCTGAGCTATTTACAACGCCGTAAAATAAACCACAAAAATAGATTTATTTAAAGACAACAATTAAAGTAATTTGTTTTTCTTAACAATTAAACTGAATTTATTTCAAATTCAAGTTACGCAGTACATCAACTAAGATTTTCAGGCGTAAGCCGTCGTTTGCGCCCAGGTCAATCCGTGTGGGATTTCTGGCAGTGAGACAGGTTTTTCCCGGAGTCCTTCGGTCTTCCCCTGTCAGTGTCATTCCACAGGTGCTCCATATTCATTCATGAATTATGTGGGCGACAGACAAAGCGTCCGTTAGCGGCCCAGTTCCACAGAAACATACACAGCAATGACATGTTTTATCCTCAACTAGAAAAGTTGTCATTTATTTTACCAGGCTTACTGTGAATCAGTTCGGAGATTGCGGATTACTTGCAGACATGACAGGTCTCCTTGCCAGTCCGACATTGGTACAAATATTTTGCCCCGGGCGAGATGCAGTCTGCGCTGTTTAACACCGCACGGCCTTGGCATTTTGGTATGTAATTACAGACGTTGTATCACCCTTCCAGGCCATGCGAAGATTGATTTGTGGTGGTGTGAAATGCGGCTACGGGGGTTTCTAGCACATTCTGTTCCAACCTTTACGTGGAGAAACTCAGAAAAATCACGATATATGTCGTCGGACGAAACAGCGCTTCAAAACATTTTTATCATAATCATCTGTATCTGTAATTCGTCATATGATGCTGCACACTAAAACAAAGAACTGAACTGAATCATCATTACCAGGAACCACCACCGCCACTATCAACATTTCTCTTCAGAGTATCATCGCCTTCTTCACCCGCTAAGCCTAGCAGCCTCGGTTTGTTGACTTAACTTCTCACACGACCGTCAATGGGTACGAAAACAACCAGCTAATTCCGCAGAAAACATACTAAACAGCCTCATTTTCCGTGTTTTGCCATGGTGATAACAAGTTTAACATCTGACGCTTCAGACAGAAATTATACTTTCTTTCTCTTAAATAAATTGCGCACCAAAGTAATGTATTTCATTTTCCTCGTTGTAGGAATAAATCCATCACTTTCGGCTAATATTTGTATGAGTTCCTTATACAGAACGTAAAAAGTATATCCATACTGTCATGTCTGTCAGTCCGTGTCTCGGAGACCGGCTATCCTGAGGGATGTCGTGGTTTTCTTCAGTCCCTCCAGACAAATTCAGGGATGGTACGTTAAATCAGGCCAAGACCGATTCCTTTCCAATTTATCATTTACTGAAACGTCATTAAATAGCCTATAAATAAGTAGAAAATCATCAAATCATGCGTTATCTATTTCTTGCAGCTGAATGACAGGTGTTTTAACACATTTTCAGTATCCTCCTTTATCACGTTTCTATCCGACAGTACGGCAATGAGCAGACACTTCAGATTATGATGTCAGACTCATGGCAGGTTACAGTTCTGTTTGTTCTTTTGGCCAGGCATGATGCATTTGGGTTCCCTATGGCTGCTCCTGGTAGGAGGAACGCAAGCTGTGCTAGGTCAATGGACACCTTGTCCAGACGTATTCCAGTATGAAGGAACCTCCGGCAACGAGTATGGTATCATCACTGTGCCCGATCCCTACCCCTACCTAGCAATTGACATTACTGTTGAAATATACATCACTGCTCGTGTACCATCGGTAAGTTACATAATTTGTCACGAAGAAATTCAAGGTCAGAGTGGCCCCCACTGTGAGGTCATGCTCTTCTCTTAAACTGTAGTTACACTTTTTACAATGATGATCAGGATAAACCAACCTGAATTCAACTGTCTTGTGATTATTTGTCAGCAGAAATCCATCAGAGTTAAATGATGGGTTACTGTCAGCAGAAACCCATTGAGTTAAATTATATTGGCAGTTCTGTTTCAGTAGATACCCAACTGAGCTCAACAATCGGAGATGAAATTTCAACAGAAACCCTCCTGACTTCAATTATCAGAGATTAAGTTTCAATAGCCACCCCAAGTTTCAATTAGAGGGTATCAGGGGTCAGTAGAAAGAGGCTGGTGGTGGTAACCTCTGTAAATCAGAGTCTGAGAAACCCAGAAAAAGAAAGAAGTCTGCAGTCTTCATACCTCAGAGTCAGAATTACATCTTGAGCACTGATGGACATTCAGATCATGCACCAATGAAAATTTCTATAGAACATATCTCACACAGGCTGACTTTTGACTGAATCTGGGTCTCCACGGTGAGGAATGAAGGTCCAGTCGCCTCTGATAAACATCTTAATTTAAAGTAATGCGTATGTTTCAATTCCACACAGAAGTTTAAAGTTTTCGGTTTGAAATATACATGAGCTACAGAAACATGGTTTGACGGGAAATCTAATAATTTCCATTTTTTTTGTTACAGGGCAGAAGTATTAAGCTGGAGTTAGTAGATAAGAATTTATGGAGTAAGCTGTTTGCTGGTGCTAGGGGTCCTGTCCTGTACCGACTTGACTTTCCTGTAACATCACCACTACCAACAATCAAGAGTATTACTGTGAACCAACAGGTGATTTGTAGAGGTCAAAAACCAAGTAAGTACCAGATCATAACTGACTCCTGCTGTACATCATTCCAGCTCCATGGTACATGTCACTGAACAGCAGACATTCAGCTGGTCACAGTAGATCTCTCAAAGTTTTTGAGCCTAAATTTTAAAAAAGTGATTATTTCCCCTTGAGTCTTCTATGTTCCTCCCATCTTATCGATCTTCATATCCACCATGATAATATTAGGTGAAGATAAATTTTTAAGCATTTGCATTTTTCTCCATTTTCCTGTTAATATATTTAATCTTTCCTAAGTAAATATTCTTTGAACTGAGCAGATTAGTAATGTTCTTGTTACTCAGAAAGTTCCTGGTATGAATCTTGGCAGGATTAATAACAATTCTGAACTTTTACCTTCTTTTTCTCAGTCCCTCCTGAAGAATGTCAACATATTGCTTTGAAAGAGGCCACAACCAACCACGACCGAGGCCTAACAAGCCTCCTGCATAGTGTATATCTATGCATTCTGCATGATGCTACACATAGAAATATTTCTTCCGTGCCTTTGGCATGCATATCCAATGAAATGGCGACCAAACATTTTTATACATGACTCATTATACAACAGACATTGCCAGCAAATAAAGTGTTCTTTGTTTATGCTACAGCATGAAGTATATTTAATAATCATTGCCATTAATACTTCAAGGCTATATAGTCTAAACTACTGATAGCAACTTTAAATACACCATAAAATGTCGCCATTATTGCTCTTTGTGTTCTCATATCAAACTTTACATTGAAGGTGCAAAGATATTTATATTGTTGGTTTCTTTTACAGGCGCTTCATTTCTTACTACATTAACAATTCAAAGTGCTGTTTTTAATGACAGATGTTCTTCAAGCAGTTTGGAATGTCCATATAACATTCGACAAACTCCAGACACATATCAGCCAGGGCCACCACCATTATCACCACCAGAAAGCACAGGTAAGTTTAAGTTTTAAAATACAAATAATGGAGCATTCATTCGTTAAACAAGAGTATTAAAGTATGAAATATGCCATAACAAGTCTTCTCTAGTTGTAAACTTTGAAGTATCAAAATTTTTAAGATGATTGTTTTCTGAATTTGGTATTAGAATACCATCCTCATGCTAGCTTGATGATGCAATTCACCAAATACGCACTTAAAAATTTATTTACAATTTTAACCATAGTATGTTTGAAGGTAACAATGATAATATACTGTCCTCTGGGATGTTATGCCATGTAGTTTAGGAACAGTTTTCTTATTTAGTCACTGCCCTGATGACAGTAAGCACCCTTGAAACATCGGTAAACTTCTACCAGACTACACGGTACAATTCCCAGAAAACAATAATCTTCAGATACACTTCTGTTAGAAATTGAAATGTTATATTAAAGAAGTTCTTTACAATCATTCTTTATATATAGTTAGTGTGTCTTTTCTTTTCTCAGTAACGCACACAAATGAAAATCCAGCTTCACCTACATCACCTTGCCCAGATGTATTTAAATATGAACAAGATAGATATGGGGACTGGTATGGAATCATCAGTGTTCCTAACCCATATCCTGTGGTTGCAATTGACATCAGAGTGGAGCTGTATATCACAGCAATATCACTGGTAATTCACTTAGATTCCACTTACTTCCATTTCAAAAGAAGGCAGGAATTTTCTTGACTAGCTGAGTGGCTGTTGGGCTTTCAAGGACTCTACTGCATGGAGATACAGTAAAATCCCTCAAGTTGGACACCCCTTTATATTGGACACTTTTAATTGGAACCGGCGAATATCCTATAATTTTAGATGTCCACAATAC